CCGAGACTGTTCGTGTGTGTACGACTGTGCTCAATTGAACAGCTCCACATGGATTGCGCCGCCTTTGTCGGACGTAAGCATCTGGCCGCCAACGTCGGTGGCGCGCGGTCGTTCACACCCTCGATTCCATGGAACGCGAGCACCACCGTCAAATTGATCAAGGCGGCGCATCGACGACACGAGCTGTACGCGCAGCCGTCCTACTTGTCTTCTCACACTGGTGCTTGTCGACAGTGTTCGGAATGTCTGTTCGTGTGGCGTTGGTAGCGAGAGAAGTATTGGCGGGCAAGGGCAAAACGATATGTAGAGCATTCGCCCCTGGGGAACACTCCCACTTGGTAAGTCGAAGGTTATCAACACAAGTGTGTACCGACTCGCACTCGACACAACGCGAGTAGAACGGAGGCTAGTCATTCGGCCCAATTGCACTGACTGGAGTGTCCAATCTCGAAGCCTTGACGACAGAGGCAATGTCGATCGAAATTGGAGTCGCTAGGATGACCGTACTGCACGCGCCATCGAGGACTATGGCACCGATGTTGCCAAGACGCCGTAGGGAGCTCAAGCGCACTTCCCGTGCCTTTCTCCAGGACAAACGACTCGACGTTGACCACGCCGCGAAACTCGTTCTCGTTGGTTTCGTTGGGGGGCCACTGCCGCCGTCCACTCCGACGGAACGCCAAGACTGCACGTCAGATCCCGCGCGTTAGCACTGGCAATTGGGACCAACACCTCGTCAACGCGACTTTGCACAGATCAAAGCAGGGCTAAACCAAGATGGTTCAGGTGGGGTCGGCCACGACGATGCGGTAACGCACCGCGTGAGAATCGTTCGAAACCATTCCATGGTTTATTGGCACACAACTTTGCCCCTTGTCTTTCCATGAGATGCTTGCCAAGGACCTCGACGCACGAAAGACTAGTACATTACATTTTACCCGATCGTGGCGTAGACTTGGTCGTGGTCTTGAATCCAGTCGCCGACGACTTCGTGGCGCTGGGGCAACGAGAAGCCGTCAAACGCAAAGTGCAGTTCGGTCGACGGCGACCGGTCTGGTACCATCGTGGCCAGCACATGGTCCTGCAGGTCTTGAAAAGTCTGGCCATACTTCATCTCGATCACCTACATCATAACGATTTCCATGAAGGTACTGGCATCTGAAGAAACGCGTCGAACCAAGGGATCCACTTGAGCTTTTTGGTCGTGCTGGACCAAGAACAGTGTAAACCGGACCGTGCGCTGCTCCAAATCGGGCAAATTGGTCGCCGCCGACGGTGTGACGGTGGTCACGGGCGGGGGCGGTACAGATTCGATTTCGAGCTGGTCCATCGAGTGCGGCATCGGGTGGGCATGTCGCTCGCCGCTCAACCGACGGTGATTCTTGGACTGCTTCATCCACTGCGTTGACGGTACAATGTCACGCGGAGGTTGCACAGGGGTATGAAGCATTTCTTCGGGCTCATCACGGGCTTGAGTGTCAGGCTGCTCGGACTCAAACATCGGCAGCGACTCCGACTCGAACGCTTGTGTCTGAGGGCCGCCGTCGGTATCTAGCAGGCTCAACACTGTGTGCGGCAACGCTACTTCGGATGCACTGTCGTCGATTCGTTGTCGCTTGGACGGTGGTTCCTCAGCGCCGTCTCGCGCATCTTGATCAGGCGACTCTGTCGACGGGGTGTCGCTTCGCTTGCGCTGCGATGTCATGCACACTGGCACGACATCATCCTTGTCGTACTCACCATGGTCGACGTGCTCAACGCTATATTGTGCATCCACCGCGCCGTCGTGATACGATTCATCGACGTTGCGCGAGTGCGATGGCGGTAACTCGGTCTCGTCGTCAGCGGTCGAATCGATGTCGTGCCGCATCGCATGCACTTGAGCTGTCTGTGCAATGGTAGCCATCTCCACCGCCACTTGTACTTCAATTGCAGTCGTGTGGCTGTTTGGCAGCGCGACGACCACCGACATGTCGCCTGTCCGACGTTCTTGTTCAGCTGCAGCTCTCTTAGCTTGCGCCTTCTCCAAATTGCGCACTTTTTCCTACGATGGGTCCTGGTTAGCCATGTATGGTGGCAATAACGGCCTTTCAGCCGTTCATTTTGATGTTGCACCTTTAATTGCCGAGCGTCTCGGTCGGCAAAATACCCCTTCATTTGGCCTTCCATGAGCATCACGACGAAGCGATTGTCGTGCTTCTGGCGCATTTCCAGAAGAAATGCAGTGTCTTCAGCACTCCATGGCATAATCGGACGACGCCGAGTCGCCGCCACCTTCACCGCCTCCTCTGGAATGACCTCGCCTTGGCGCCGCAAGATCTTCCATTTGTCCTGGACATCGTGCCCGTTCCGGGTGTGGTACAACTTGCCGCAAGCGACCCCTTCCGTCGCAATCCACGTCCATTGCCCGCCATGTGTTTTGATCATTGTGGTGATGTACTCGACTTCGGAATCCGTCCACTTGATACCGCGGCGTCGTGGCGCCTTCCTGCTCGCAACGACATTCGTTCAAGCTAGAATGAAACACAAGAATGGAAATGCACGACATACACGACCGAGACGTTCTTCTTGGCCGCGGCGGCAGTGCTTGCCGTGGCGTCATGGGAGGTTGGGGTTGCCGTGGCTTCAGACTTTGATAGCGGGGTTGGGGAAGTCGTTTTCTTGCCTGAGGGACGTCCACGTCGCTTTGGAGCAGGATTCGACGGTGCCAATCCACGTGACGATCTCTTTGACGTGCTCGTCATGGATGCTGAACGTCTACATGAAGTGGTCGATGAGAAGGTTGTGACTGGGATGTTTGAAAGCTTACCGAGGCCCAAGATCGGCGTCCGAATCGGTGTCGTTGGTAAAACTATCGCTGGAAAGGCTTGAGGCATCGCTGAAGTGGTTTTGGGTCATGGGGCCATCGGCACGATCGCTGTCCGAGTCCGACAGACCTGATGTGAGGCGGCGTTGTGGCTTGCGAGCGGATACTGCTCGGTGCTTGCCTTTACCAGCTGCCAAGCGTCTGGGAGATGCAAATCCACGACTTACGGACGACCCCTTCACTTTGGAGAGTGATGCAATCACTGTGGCCGTCGAGTGTGCCGAAGGAATCGACGAGGGTGTGTCGTTGTTGTCGTAGTCGAAAGTTAACTCGTTGTCCGAGAGCACCGAGATCACATCGCCAGATGCAAAATGCGTTGAAACACTAGGTCCTTGCGCCGTGGGGCGCAAACGCGTCGACCGGCGGCTTGCCTGTGGTGTCTGCTTCGCTTTCTTCTTGTTCATGATCGAGTGGACCCCGAAACCCCGAACTGGCGGGAGGGGGTTTATTTCTATTTGTCCACCTTCGATTTGTTACAAATGTCAAGGTATTTAAAAACGAGGCGTTCGGGCAGTTGCAATGGGGTTTCGAGTATACTAACCCACAAAGGAAAACGGTAGAATATCGGCTACAATATTTTATTTTTGGTATTCACACAAAATATGAAAACAATTTCAATATTTCTTACCAATACCAAAGTTGAATTCACACTGTGTATTGATTTTCAATTTGTACACACATCTTTGAAAGAGACTACATCGCGATTCTCCAAACAGTCTGCAAGCACAATGGCGCCGCCGACTTCGCTGGCCGAGCGGAATGAAGCGTACGTGATGCATGATGTCTGCTCCTCTCGTCCCAACATTTTTGCACACGCGACGGCTCTGACGCGGTCTTGCCGTAGGAACCGACAGCACAATCGTCAAGTCATTCGGAAACTGGTCTTTTTCTCGTTTCTCATGTTCAGCCTCCCGATTGCGGCCTTTTACGTGCTCAATCATGTCTTTCGAGGTACTTCTTGGACAGAAGTTGACATTCTTACTTCTTCATGGTGCAATCCTTCCTCGCCTTACGACGTCCGCTCTGCCTGTAGACAGCGAGAACAAAACCATGTGGAGGTAAGAATGCATCACACAACTTTTTGCCCCCACGTGTTTCACTTGAATCGTTCGGCAGTGGGTTTGGCGCAATTGGAGTTGTGAACGTTGTCATTGTGGCGTATATCATCGAAGCATTTCGAGAAGATGCTGCGGCTGCCAAGGACAACGCGGTTCCATCGCCCGTTGTTGGAAAAGTCAAACACTCGTAAGCAGCGTAACTATGTTATCACGATCGAGCGACATGATGATCATTCGAAGCGTCGCATATCTACAACGTCAGCATGACGATGTGTGTCCCACGTCAGGTGCATCGCGTCCGAGTAGATGTCTACGTTGGACGGGTGTTCATGGAACCCCGTGAGGTTGCAGTTCTGGATCAGTTCGATGCCATGAGGCGTGGTCAATCGAAAGACACCGACACTACACCACACAACTCAGTGGATGACAACAACTTCAAGAACGTCATCGTCAACGCGTACTTTTTCACAGGATCTCGTGGAGCGACGACAATTGCAATCGCCTAGAACGGCATCACTGGTCTGTCACGACGCGTTGGTCAGAACGAAATACCTCGGACAGCATCGACTGAAAGCCGCATTGAGTGTGGATGTCCACGGACGACAAAAAGCACGTTTGCGATGGATGCGTCTGCTCCCATCGTCAGGAAAGGAAAATCAACAGAGTCCAACGATCACGTCATGTCGTCGATTCCACAGAATTGCACGAGGCAAACGCACGTACGTGAATCCACCCGAGCGTGAGCAAGTCGTGCTGGATGCAGTACGCAAAGAGTTCTTCTTCGTGCGTCATGTTGCACGTGTCCGACGTGCCCTGCATCACTCACTGCGATGACTCACGCTGCATGACTGTAAAGCCACGGTACCTCTTGTTTCGGGATGATCAGCGTCGTGATGGACAGAGATTGATCTTTCTAGACGCGATGCCACGCGTCAGTGTGACGAGTCCCGATCACGTCCATGAACGTCGTACCAATGTGCCTGCCAAGATGCCGCACGTTTCCACTCCGTGCGGCAATCGTCGTGTATTTGGCTCAGCAATGCGAGTGAACTCTGCCACCAACGACGATGGAATCGCCATGTCGCGGACTTCATCTCTGATATCTTCCATGCATCAAGAACAGCGACTTCGTTGCAGGAAGCACCTACCGCATGCGAAGGGCTTTGCTTTGGATAGACGATCGACGGGTTTGGCCGTTGCCCACAGTCGTTAGCCACGACGGCCGAGCCGTTGCGAGTGAAGGATAACTGACTGGCGGAGCATGGAACGTTGTTGTGGATATTTGCGTGGGAGAAAAGTGGTGGAGATGGTGGGCGTCGTGGGAAACAGTGCGGCTTGGATGGGTAGGCGCCATGCGAAGCACTTCAAAGGCATTGCCCCGATCTTGACAAGCAACAGACTGTGCGACCGGCGCCGGTTTGCCTTTCAACGCCATGAGCCTTCCTTCCAAAGCAGATGCGACAGCGTCCTTGGCGGGAGCTGACGGAAACTCGGCGTCGGGATGCATCGCCATGATGTGTTCTTCTTCATCGTGGGCATGCTGCAAGTGCTCGAGTTCTTCGTGGAACATGCCGTCCAAAATGCGATCCAGCAACGCCAACGCGTCGTAGCATTTCTGCCATCAATGGAATTTGTCGTTGGTTGACAAACAAAGAGCGTACCTTCTCGAGCAACTTGCGATCTTTTTCAAACCGCGCGACGCGGAACTCGCGATGGCCAGGCATCTTTTTCTGAAACAACCTATGCAATTCGTCGACCCTTGAGTACGACGTTCGACGAGACTGTAGAAAGGTGAACGCACTCGACGAGCTGTAGCAGCATGATGTATCTATCAAAGAACGAGTTCCCAGCATAAGTAGATGATGGCGGATGCGAACGAGGTCGGTGGCCACGTACGCATGATCGTAGTCCTTCTCGATAACGTATAATTGGCACTGCCGGTAGATCTGATGCGCCTTTTGAAAACACTTTTCGATCTTGTCGGTACTTCTGAGATCCCGCACCACGCAGAGCTTCTTGAGCTCTGTCCGGCGAAGCTTCACGCGCTCTTCCGCCTCGGCCTTCAACTCTTCGTCGACTGCACTTGGTGGCATACTCGTCGTGTTCAAGTCGCAGTCGAGCTTGACCTGCATTCTGCTCATACATCCGGATACGTTGTCCGGTTCAGCTAGCATCCAATATTTGTGGATTTGCTAGAAGCAAGAGTATATTTTGAAACGTAAACTATCAATAAATTATGTTCCGAACCAATCTGCGTGTTGACGGTGTGCAGTCGCCCAGCTAACACTGCCTCGCTTAACAGCAACGGCATGTTGCATCCAAGCATGGCGCGTGCGCACCGCGCATTGTCGGCTTCAGTGGCAGACATAAAGCTGCTTGCATCCAAGGCGAAGGTAGACATCCAAATTCTTGCCCCCCACGCACCCATGAATCTCAACGTCATCATATTGTAGGATGTCAAATACTTCAAGATTTATCGATGGGACCCCGAGTCCAAGGAAAAGCCGTACTTGTGCACATACCCAGTGAACTTGAATGAGTGTGGACCGATGGTGTTGGACGCGTTGATCAAGATAAAGAACCAACAAGACCCGACGTTATCGTTCCGCCGGTAGTTCGGCGTGCATTCAGCAGGAACGTCATGCGTGGACTACGTGTAGGTCGTGCCGCGAAGGGATATGCGGGTCGTGTGCGATGAATATCAATGGCAGCAACACGTTAGCGTGCATTTGTCCGATTGACAAGAAAATGGACACGATCAAGCTGTACCCGTTGCCACACATGTACGTGATTCGCGACTTGGTGCCCGACATGAACAACTTTTACGCGCAATACAAGTCGATCCAGCCATGGTTGCATTCAGACGTGGTGAAGGCGGGCAATGTCGAGTTTCTCCAGTCGAAGGAAGACCGTGACAAGCTGAACGGGTTGTACGAGTGCATCTTGTGCGCATGCTGCAGCACGTCATGCCCGAGCTATTGGTGGAGCCCAGAGCGTTATCTTGGCCCCGCCGTCCTCCTTCAAGCATTCCGATGGATCGAAGACTCACGTGACACCATGATGCTGGAACGTTTGGAGTACTTGAACGATCCGTTCAAGTTGTATCGTTGCCACACAATCATGAACTGCACGAGCGCGTGCCCCAAACACTTGAACCCTGCCATGGCCATCGCCAAAATCAAGAAGAAGTTGGCGCTTGTGCAGTAGCTTTTGGAGCACGTCATGCCATTCGCAGCAGCGACGCTGCGAGTCGCCATTGGTTTTCGATGCTTTATATCGAAAAATTGCAAATTTTGATTGCATTTTTTATGCTCTCAACGTTTATCCGGATAGCCCATGATTCCGAATACGCGTCAAGATCGGGAATATCGAATGAGGAGGCACAGTTGTTCGTGTGGCACACTCTGTTTTTCGATCCGTTACGACATTGGCATCATGGCCGAGAACAAGCTGTCGTCGTCCGCCGCCGCGTGCCTGGAAAAGCTGCGTGACGCTAAGGACTGTAAATGGGTGACAGACGCAAGCAACCAGGGTGTGAAGCAGTTGAACAACATGCTGAACTCGGAGGCGCCATTGGAGCCCCTGAAAATCCTAGCCGCCGTCGATAAGCCCGTCGCGGGGCCGTACCAGAAGCACCTGATTCAATTGAAAGTCCGTGTTGCCCCGAAAACAATCTGCTCGTACGATCCTGTTTTGATAACACCGAGGACTCAACGACTAACTCTTGTTTCAAGGCCAGGTGCAACTGACATCTCCGCAGCTGCATGCGATTTTGACTTGAAGCGAAGTGCAATTTTTCAATTGCTCTTATCTCAGCCATCGACGGGCACAGATCAATGGACCCTTGTCGACAGCCTGCAGATCCAAGGTCATCATTTGCGACGATTCCAAATGCATGTAATCTCAACCCCAGCTTGATGTTGTCGAATAGATTCAACAGCATCCTCGGTTAGCCAAAGCGTCGACGACATCGTCGTTGTTGGGGTGCCTCAAAAGGCTTCCACAGCTACAAGCGGGCAGTCGCCGTTCAAGTTTATCCCTCCTTACGCGCTGGAAGTCCTCGTAGTTGCCGCGTGCATCTTTGGACTCACGGCGCTTCTCGTGCACACAATCCGTCATCGTCGAACGGGGTATGCTTCCGTCGGTCAACCTCACGCGCAAGTTAAAGTGCGACGCGTGGACTTGAAGCGCCCAAACCCAGTCCCGCGGAACGAAGAAACCACGTTGCGGCATTCCCACGAGAAAAACGAGCGGTTCGCCGTTTGACTACACGGTTGCTTTTCCGCTGTATTTTAATTGGTCTCGTGTAATGATATGCGGTTGTTCACCTCATGGTTCCATCGTTTAAGCTCGACGTTTTATATCGAATTACAACGTCATGGCTGCTGTACCCCTCTCGACAACAAACTGAAGAACGATAAAAATAAATTTTTCCCTGATGTTCAAGGCCTGCCAAAGATGGTCGAGAACAGCACAATGACGATCGCAAGCACCATAAACCCCATGACTCCGTACAAGATGAGTTTCTGGCGCTTGTCACGTGCAGACATGCGACCGAGGATGCGACCGCCAGAGCGCGCCATGTCGTTGACCGATTTTACCTGATCGTGCCGTGGTGAGTGGAGACACCGACTGACACATCACAGTACCTTGTCGTGCGTGGCCTGAATTTTTTCGCGGTTGCGTCCTAGTTCTTCTTGAATGCCGATGGCCACTTCTTCCGTTTCCAGCACCGTTTGATGGGCCGCTTTGATGCGGTCACCGGTTTGTTGCAATCTATGGGAATTGTCATTGTGGTACGTAGACAGATCGTACTTTTGAGTGGCCCCTGCCATGCGACTACGGGCTTCAGCGGACCCGAACAAGCCTTCTTTTTCTTCCTTAGCCTTGATATTTTTGAGGTCATCAGAGAGAGACTTGAGGCTCTTCTTGTATTGATCGACTTTCTTGGACAGTTCACGCTTCGTCGCGGCGTCCAAGCTGCGCACTTCCAAATCCATTTGTTGGATCTAATCCTCAAATATGAGGTCACGGAGACCACGCAAGCATTTTTATATCGCGTCGGGTCTTACCAGTTGCGACGCTTGGGTTAGGAGGTCCGACGCATGTGTTATAGCCGTTCGCTTTTTGTCGGGCTCTTCTTCGTAGCTAGAGATCTCGCTGATCTTGGCGGAGACGGACTGCGCTAAGCTTTTGTACTCTTCGTCATATCCGTCAAAGATAGTCGTCATGATGCGCCCGGACGAGGCGGAGGAAGCAGCGGTGGAAATGGTTCTGAACGGGACACTGGGGCGCAAGCGATTCTCGGAAACGTGAAAGCGAAAACGCTCGAAATCCCAACGACATCTCTTATGACCAATCACACGCGAGAACCACATCCACGAACCAATCCGATTCGGCTACGTCAGAGTCAGTTCGAATTCAATGGCAAACCATACAAACACCAGACGTGACGAATTTTTTTCAATTTAAATAATCAGCAATGGTACTGCCGATAGATTGCAAGTGCGGTTTACGCTGGAAAATGGCAATTTCACAGTAAGAGTAGGAACAACCAATTTTTGTGTTCATTCCTGTTACTACTGTGCACGAAATGAGGGCGATAGTGACCGATACAGTCAACGGAACAGTGCTTTGACATGCCAATGATACGGGCGATGGGGTGGAGGCTTCGGTGGGCAAGCACAGCGATGGGAGAGCTGGGGGTGCTTTGAGCTATACCTCAGCTGGCAGCAGCAGCAACGAGTTCTCTATGCGATGCGTTGAGAGCTCGAAGTCGTCTGGTTTTGCTGTCACACGGACCCACTTCCTGGATCCCAGGATGCAGGAACCAGTGTGATAAATCCTGTGCACATCGAAAGAGTTCTCTTTGCCGTCATACGTTAAATACAAATTGTACACTTCATTACACTTTGGTATTCTTACTTCATATTTTTATATTAAAGTGCTATACAAAAGAGTCAAAAAGGTGTACTGTAGTCGAAGTGGCGCGTTGTTCATGTCCACTACGAAAGGGTGCGAATCGGCAGCATGGGATCTCTCCGGGGTGCCGATACGCCACCGTCGTTCGACCTGGACTACTTGGACCTCGAAGAGGAACTCATGGGCTCACCACAGGATGCTGCGGCTTCTAGCTATCTAAGTACCTTCCCGCGCTGTCGTGCTTCGTCAACGCCGACAACACGCGGCTCCAACAAGTTCAAACCGAAGGAAAGCCTTCGAGCATTCCAAGCTTTGCGCGACGAAGACGATCACGCTACATTGCACAGAGAAGCCACTGTGACTCGCTCGACGCGAGTCGCTCGTATCGTGGAGGCAGCGTCAAGTCGACAGTCGCATCGCCGTCCGCGAGGATTGTCATCGACTGAGGCAACGATTCGATCCCGCAGTGTGTTTGCCGACCTGTTTATCGACCTACCGCCCGTTGAGAAGCAAGCGTTGGCACAGTTTGTAGACGACGAGTTCACTCGCGTTATCACACAGCCCATGGGATGTCCTGCCTCCGTCATCGCAGACCACTTTCGTGCCATTTTCCGTACAGCTGCAACGACCAGTTCCCTCACGCGGCCGATCAAGCACTCTCTTGGAAATGTCGTGCTCGATTTTGCGACTGTGTTCCACTCGCTCTACGAACAGCATGTGCACTGTCCGATGCAGGAAGCCATTGCTTCATGCGCCGCAGACGACGTCATCGAGTTCAGCGCCTTGCTCGTACAAGTGCTTCGATTCAAGTACCCGTCCCTCGCATCTGCGTCTCTGCTTGTATATGTCCAACAAGCGGTCGAAGATGCCATGTTCGTGCATCTGCAGCCAACGTTGCATGGTCTATTCACCGCGCAATGCAGTTCCGCCGATATTTCACTCGCGACTATCATGGCGGCCCTACGGCACTCACCTTGCGTTGCCGAGTCTATCGGTGTGCCGCCGCTGTATCGTCTTGACGCATCTTCGTTGCGACATGCGACGCCATACACAAACTGTATTACTAAGATGTCGGAGCTGCCTCATCAACGATCACCGTCAGCAAAGGTCGCAGTTGTGTCCCAAGTCTGCCGTCTCATCGACGTTACCATCCATACGTATTACGCTGGTCATCCAAATCCTCCGCCCGTCGAGCAACTCCACATGTAAGTCGACGTCTTCAATGGTCCCCACTTCTTATGGTCATGTTGTAGCGCTGCAGATGCTTTGGTCTCCGTGCTTGCTTACGTTGTGGTCATGGCCAATTGCCCACATTTGGCGTCGCACCTCGCTCTCATGGACGCATTCCTTCCCGATCGCATCAGCATCGGCGAAGAAGCGTACGCGGTCACAATCCTCCACACCGCCATCGCGCATATCCGTGCCACAGGAAACGGATTTGCGTAACATTCTGGCGATATTCTTAAAAGTTAAAAGCGTTAAACGTAGGTTTTAGGTTTTACTCTGTCGCGTTATTTCGCAACCTCTTCGGTTGGACACGCCAATATCGAGCGTCCCTTGACTGTACGATTCTTGTAGTTGTGCCGTTTGGACATCCACAGAACATTCACACGAGCGCGAGAAACCCAAGCATCCCATAGACGCCAGGGCTCGCTGCAGGCAATTCGACAAGAGAAAGGCGTTTGACGAAGTAACTTCAACGATAGAAGTGGTGGCACCCGATGGACATCCCAGCCTCGGGTCAAGGGTGTCCATTGGATATCCCTGAGGCAGTGAAAGAAACTTGGACGTTCTTGAAACATGTTTAAACTCAAAACGCATATCGTGGTCGTTACTTTATCGGTTTCTGTGGTCTTGATCAGAAACCCATTCGGCCAATTTTCGGCTGCACGGCTCCAGTGACGGCAATGGATCCTCGACATGCATGGTTCGTTCGCCTGAAGGAGGCCCTGGACGACTCCCTCAAGCATGTGACCCTGACGGTCCAGCCGTCGCGCGCGTGTTTGCGTGGACGCAATCCGTTCACGGTATACCATTACACGATTTCAAAACCAGGGTTTCGATGGGCCGTCGATCGTCGCTACTCTGAGTGCCATCACCTGCGAAAAGACCTGCTTCGGCACTTTCGGCGAACCAGTCAGTCTACTCTCGCCTCGTTTCTCGCCCCAATTGCCCATGTCGATTTCCCCAAGAAACGGTTTGGCGAAGACACCAAGGGCGTCGTCGGCGAGCGACAACTCAAGCTGAAGAAGTTCCTCCGCGTTTGCATGGAGGTCCGCGCGACTCTGATGGCATATGTCGTCGTTTATCAGCATCGATCGGCAAGTGTTCTCATCGTCATTCTCGACCACCTCGATATGTTTCTTGGCGTGCCACCGCAACTGTGCGATGCTGAACGCCGCCTCATACAAGGTTTTTTATCGCTCCTGCAGCACCACGAAACACACGCCCCGTTGCCGATACCGTCTTTGGATGCAAAAGCAACGCGTCCGTCGTCTCTCGACGACTGCGCGATCTGTCTCGGCGACTTCGACGACAACGACGCTCACGTTGTCACACTGCCGTGCAATCACATGTTCCACAGCGACTGCGTCTTTCCGTGGCTCGTTCGAGATCATTCGTGCCCACTGTGCCGCACTAGCGCAGTCGATTACCCGTAACTCGCATTGTGCATGATACCGCTGACTTGCTGTCGCAGTCGACGCACGTGAGCATGCGCCCACTTCCGCTTCAGAACTTGTCAAATTTATTTTAAATTTGTATACGTTCATGGCATGCTTTGCTCGGTGCAAGGCAAATAAAATTTCTTGTACACCCAATGCAGACTGGAAACGTAAATAGTGTGGTTCATTCGACCGATAATGGTGTTAGTTATCAAATCGGAGCATATTTCATTGGATTACCAGTCAAATTGAAGTGGGCAGCTCGATCACAATGATGTTGCTACGTCGACCGGCGCCGGCGATGCGACCGTTCCTTGGCGCCATGGCATTGTCGATGGAGCGGCGAGCCATGCCTCAAGGAGAATCTGGCAAGAAACGCAAGGTGAAGGTCGCCCTTGTGACAGGGTACACGGGGACGGGGTACCACGGCGTGCAAATCCAGGAGAACGTGAACGTACCGACAGTTGAACACGCCGTGCGCGAGGCCTTGTTCAAGGCGGGGTGCATCCTTGAATCCAATTACGGCGACATGTCCAAAATCGGTTGGTCGCGAAGCAGTCGGACTGACAAGGGTGTGCATGCTTCGTCCATCGTGGTACATTCACTCGTTCCCCGAGTCGATTCCATCTCATCGTTGTGACGGATGTAGTTGTCGGGGAAACTACTCGTTCATGGAAACCGAATTGATCCAGTGAGCGGTCGCATTGCACACCTTCCCGATCAAATCAACGCGTACTTGCCTCAAGACATCCGCGTGTTTACTGCGACAAAGGTCCATCAGTCGTTCCGTGCAAGAGAGGACTGCATCCTGCGCGAGTACGAGTACTTTTTGCCGCTATCGTTCTTGTCCTCACTCTGTCCGCCCGAAATATCTGCGGACGACGCGCTAAAGACATTCTTGGAAACGCTGCCCAAGTTTGAAGGAATTCATGACTTCCACAACTTTACCAAGCAGCGGCGGCACTTTTACAAGCTCGAGGCGCAGAAGCTGCTGGCCAAGGAGCGCCGTCGCCAGAGAAATGCCCAAGACGAGGTTGTCGACGATGCGACGCCCGACGAAGAAGTTGTGGAGAATGAAGGCGATGACATCGAAGCCGAACCCAACGACATATCGTTGGTCAACGGCGTCCGAAAAACGCTGCAGCGCCACAGTCGCTCCATCTATGCGTGTCGTGGGGCTTTAGTCCCCGATGTCTTTGGCGAGCCCTTCATCCACATCCACCTCACGGGCGGGTCGTTCCTGTTCAACCAGATTCGATGCATGGTCGGTGGCGCGATCGCGGTGGCCACGGGTGCCATGGCGCCGACACTGTTTGACGCAGCTCTCCGTACGTTTCGTTCAACCGTGACGATGAATTCGTGCACGGTCAAAACCTGTGTGGAATAGGAACAAACCATGTCGTGCATGTTCCGACGGCGCCCGCGGAAGGCCTCGTCCTGTCGAGCTGTGGTTTTGGGGCCAAGCAGCACTTGATCTCGCTCCTTCGCGACCACAACACGCCCAGGAACTTGTTTGCGGGCTCCAACCCCAACCAAGCGCCCCACCGTGTCCTTGTATCTGACACCGAGGACGAGCTACACCGCATGCTGCAGTTTCGAAACGAGGTCCGAGCAACGGCCAGGTCGTGCTGGATTCAATGGGACTTTAGGTGATATACAAGGAAGTCGTGCGCATGTGGCATGTCAGTGAGCATGTGGCGGCGTGGCCAACCCATTTTGCGTCGTGGACGGAAAAATTCAACGAGACGACAGACGAACGTACCCTCCGCGTCGCTCTGGAAAAGGTACTGGCCGACGACGCGAGCAAGGCTGCGTACAGCGATCGAATCGTGCGGGAGGCCCGGGTGATAGGCGACGCCGTCAAGGTCCTCCCGAGAGCGTTTAGCACCGTCGTGTGCATTCATTTCGGCATTACGCCTGGGGCGTACATCGCCGACGCGATCGCGGGCCTCAAACTGGTACGTTTTTTGCCGTTTGGACGGTCTCTAATGGTGGTGGTGGCTGCAGCGCATTCTGGACCACTCGTTGCCCGTGGACGCGACGCAAGAAGACCTGCTCGACTACATGAGCAATATTGGCCTCGACACGCTGGCACGAATGGGTCGGACAGGCATGTAGAGGAGTAGGAGCCCTGTCGGGTGACCGATAGAGTTGCATGTCGCAATGCAAATGATTTGAGCGGTGGCGATACCGCTGTGGGCATGGACCACGAGTCGTTCTTTGGGGCAAGTCCCATCGACGGCTGACCGCGACTTTTTGTTTGCTCATATGTACATGCCGATCGAGATCTGCTTAGCCACCACACATGAATTAGTTCCTACTTCTTGGGCTTCCACTCTCTCGCTTCGCTCGCTTGGGTGGTCGGGCGAGAGCCGTTCCGCTCTTTCCCGCGGCGGTCGCCGGTTGGTTGATGGACGGGTTTCTGGACGCCTGCTTTGCACCACCATCTGCCGCGTCCGCGGGTATTCCTTGTTGCGATGGACGCGCGATACCAAAATGCTTCGTCACCCTAGCAAGTCAAAAACCTTTGTTGAAACAGCTTCAATCGCGGGAAAATGAACGTACAGAGGCTTGGACGGCGGGCGCTTTTTCGTGTGTTCGAAGACGCTCAGCACTGCGTTAGCTTTGTCATGAAGGAGCTTCTTCTTGCTCTGGTCCGCGACGCTTAGCACAGCCTGGCTCCCTTCCTTCTTGAGTTTGCGGGCTGACATTTCGTGGCAATTGGCTTCTGGGATCGGCGGCAGCATCGTCGGTCTAGACAAGTCGATGCATCACGATGCCCCCTCATCAACCACGACGATGCAAAGAGAAAAATGGTACTTTTCTTTCGGGTGGAGCTGCGGATGGTGCACGTGGAAGTAGTCACTGTTGAGGGCTTGCGACGGGTTGAACCGGGACTTGGGATCAAGTTGCAGCAACTTGTCCAGTAACTCGACAAATCCCTTGGGCAACGTTACGTTGCGCTCAGAAGCTTTGCGCATTAGCATGCTACGAAGAACGTTTGACCGAGGCTTTTCTTGCCCGAGAAACTTGTCAAAGTGGGGCAAGTGGGCGACACCGTTGACTTCGTCGAGAGAAGTGCCGCACAAGTCAATGATCTTGACCATTTGTTCTGTCTCGGTCTTTGCGGCAAACAGCGGGCGCCCCAGGAAGAGCTCCGCAAAGACACACCTATGCAACTTTAGAAGCAACCCCGGAGCCTTTGTGACGAGCTGCAAGCAGTTACCCGACGCTCCACATGTCCACGCTCGCGTCGTATTCTGTCGAGCCCAGCAAGAGCTCTGGCGCGCGATACCATAATGTCACCACCTAGGTCAGGCCATGCAGTTCAGAGGCGCATTTGAATGGGGACATGAGCCAAGAAACCACAACGCGCAAGCGATATACTGAGGAACGCAATGAGGAGGTACCTTGTTTGTAAGTTTGGAATTCGAACGCAAAGTTCGTGCGAGTCCGTAGTCGGCCAGCTTCACAACGTAATCGGGAGTGAGGAGGATGTTGGAGGTCTTGAGGTCGCGGTGGAGGACATCACGGTCGTGCATATACTTGAGTCCCTCCAGCAGCTGTCGCATGATGTACTTGGTGGCGAGCTCCGAAAACGTGTGGTTGCTTTGAAGCAGACCTGTCAAATCGTGTGCGACAAACTCTAGCACAAGAAAGATGCTGCCGTTGGCGTAATCGCTACGGGTATCTTGGCTGCTGGGTCCATTCGAGTCGTCGTCTTCTTCGTCGTCTTCGTCTTTCTGTTTGCTCACGACAATACCTTTCATCTCGACAAGGTTTGGGTGGCGCAAGGACTTGAGTGCCACGATTTCGCGAAGCGTGGTCACTGGAACACCTTCAGATTCGTTCAACGTCTTGATTTTCTTCAGCGCAACGACGTCGCCAGTGACACGGTCCTTGGCCTCATACACACGGCCGTACGTTCCCGCTCCTATGCACCGGACTTTCGTGTACTTCTCAAAGCAAGGCGTCCCGTACTCGAGCGAGTTCGCGTCGTGGTCGGCCATGGCGGCAACACACACAATCCTTGCACTTATCCGGATAGGTTTTTTGTATCCGGTATGGTTCATTTTCAAATTGGGCGGGGATTTTCATCGAGATGGACACGTTGGACTGCTGTGTCGCCCAGATGCGCGCGTGTGCCGACAAGGTGCGTCATTCGCCATGGATCGACGGGTGAGATAGATGTCTAAGTTGATTTCCAGCTCCGAAGCACAAAGAATGCGCTCTCCTTGACATACCTCGACATGAAAGCAAGAGACTTACCAGCAATCACAATTGTACGTCTTGTCTCCTCATGTAGGGTGCGACGTGATGACCTCAGGGATAGACATCGAGATTAGTTTTCGAGGAGGAAGAGAAAGAAGATGACATCGTCGAGAAGCACAAGCGGCGTTACGAAGCATGTGTCAAGCAAGGTACGAAGCCTGATCTTTCACACCAATCCAAGCTCTTATGCACTTGCGTAGCGGAGGAACAGGTTGAAAAGTTGATGGCAGAAAAAAAACAACTCGAGCAAGATCTCCGGCGGCAATCGCAGCAATTCCGCCAAGTACTGGAAGAGCGAGATGCTGACGTTCAAGTGTGTACTCGGGCCAGTAGGGTTTACTTTCATTGGATGTGATCGTCTCGTTGCAGGTGGAATACGCAAAGATGATCGCAGAGCTCAACGACCACATTGAAGACTCAAAACAGGTACGGACTGTGGTGATCCCAAAAATGCCTAGTTTTTCTATTGTCTGTAGCAATTGAACGCTGCGGTTGAATCACGTGACGCCAAGCAATCGCTAGTTCGTAACTTGCCTTCTCCGTCGTTGGCTAGCCAAGCTGATCTTCACAAGCATCGCATGCTGCAGGTACAGCTGCACGCTCTCCCTCGTTGATTTGTCCTGCTCAGTGCCTAATTTACTTGCTTCGAAGCAACAAATCATGGGTTTGTCCAAGGAAGTGTCGGAACTTCAGGCTGAGCTCCACCAAATTGAGGAAGAATTATCGCGCCCTGTGGCTATCAAGCGCAAGGCAAATGCATTAGATGAAGCCGATTCCAGCCATCACGTTTCAGTCGCCCAAGGTTTGTCAACATGGACAGCCGTCAGGTGTTTATGCTCGATGGGTGTAGAATGCAATGATATCCAGGTGGAGATTGCCATGCTCATTGAAACGGAACAAGCGTTGCAGGACCAGGTACAGAATACTTTATCATACGCAGTATCGAATGACGGCTACGTAGGCTACCCAGCGGCGATTACATGCAGCCCAGCAAGAAGAAAACCAATTGGCTCTCCGTGAAGTGGAAGAGGTTGGTGCATGCGACTTGAGATGATGAGAGACGAAGTCCACTGCTAGTTGGAGCAAGAAATTTCCAGTGTCGATGCGTCTATTGCAACGCTAACAACTCGACTGCAAGCTCAGTTATTTCGTGTCTTGGCACCCTCATCGACAATGGGAGCACTTCTTACTCGTTTGTGCTCGTATATTTCAGCGCAAGGGGACGCCCCGATCGCCATATCGAATGTCTTGGAGGTAACGTGAGCCTCTCGACCGATGTCATCACGTGGCGTTTTTAGATGTGTCCGTCACAAGTTGAAGGCAACGAATGTATCGATCTGTTGGTTAAAGTCGGTTTTGTTGTCAGCGATGGAGTGAACCTTCGACAGACCACCACTTAACCAACATCTCCCTCCGCACGTAAGTCATCAAGTGTTTGGCAAGTTATGCCTGGTTAAAATACCAATACAGCGAAGAGGGCCATTGGGCTGTGAGTGGCAAAACCATCAATAGACCTGCATCACCACAGTTGACGGTTAATGAAGTCGAAAAAGGAGATGATATGAAGGGAACACATCAATTTGGTTGAGTATTAACAGTAAATGCTTGACACTACACTATAGATCCTCTGCGCAAGTCTAAGCTGCGACAATTCGATTTCCATATCGCGCATGCCGGCGGAATACAAGCGAATTAGTGGATTGCATCACTTCACTGAAAGAGTCTAGTCTGTGATGAATCTTCGTCAGCTAGGCAAGCAATGGCAACAAAAAATTCGAGCAAGTCGACCGTCCACACAAGAGGAAAAATGTTAAGCATAAGAGCGGTCGAAGATGACGATGAAATTCCATGGACCTCAAGGATATTGAGGTTCGTCCGCACCACAAAGTGTCAGAGTATATTAAAGTTTGATTGTACTCTCACCGGTCCATGGTACTCCAAAAACAATGCACCCCACGAAAAATGCAAACAACATGAACACAATACGAGCGTCGGCCACCACGTCAGCCAGGAGCACCGACGCCACCGTCACGTCCGCCTTCGATCAACCAGTCAGCCTCCAGCATCATGCGTGTTTTCCACAGCGATGGTTCAGAGTATATTAAAGTTTCTTGACTGTCATCGGCTTGCGGTGATCGAAGGGACGACGGACGGGACGCTGGTGCTCGCGCGAGGACGATTGGCGACTACAACGAGAGCGGCGGTGGACAAGTGAAGCATGAGATGAACAACGGGGAAGACACGATACACACCATCGAAGAGTCCTTCGTTGTTCTTTCAACTTAGTTTTCTGGGATGTCAAGTTCACCTTCAGTGATGCGTCGTTGGATTTCAGTCGGGGCTTCGCCGTTGACGGTGCATCCAAGAGAGTTGGCCGTGCCGAGCATTTCCTTAACGGTACCTGCCAACGAACGGGCCATCGAGCGCGATCGCATGGTGCGGGCAATGTCAATCACAACTTCCAACGTCAAGTTGCCGTCGTGCTTGATGTTCTTGACCTTCTTGCGGTCACGAGGGGGTTCCTTCAACGCCTTGACGAGCAACGACGAGGCCGAAGGGATCAACGAGACAGTCGCGACACGGTTCACGATGGTCAACTTGATCGTGACGCTCAACCCCTTCCACTCTTGGGTCGCCTTGCAGATATCTTCGCCGACCTTCTTCGGAGACAAACCGAGAGGACCGACCTTGGGGGCCAGCGCAGACGCGGGGGCGATTTCACCACCCGTCGTACGAAGGATGACAATCTTTTCTTCACCTGCAGGGGGAGGAGGCGCCATGTTGGTGGAACTTGAAAGGACTGATGGCAGAAATTCCAGAATAAATGGCACACGCCGCCTTGCTTTCGTTGGCCGCTGCGAGCCAGCCAAACAGACCAATCCAATTACAGCCAATTCCTGGCCGAAATTGGCCAAATATTTCGATGTATGTACCTGATTTTCGTGCCGGACGGGGCAAAGTGCCTGTCAAAATAAATACCGACCTATCAAACTGAATACCAACCAACTGCGATACCTAGTTTCGATATCGGGGATGCCGAATGCCGAAATGAACATTGAGAACGTTAAATTAGGTAAACTTGGGCGCCTGAATTAGACAGGTTCAACCTGTCGAAACATATTAAGCACTAGCCCTGCCAAAACGAATAGGATCATTTCAGGAAAGGACATTGTGGCTGCCGAGGATGTGGCGACGATTGCTGCACGCGCGAGGATGGAGTGACGATGGAAGCATCGTGGATGAACATGTCTCTGAACAGACGCCTCGGAGCATGGCAGTTCAGCGTCATCGTATTCTCAGCCGGGAAGCTCACCTGTGGACGTTGTTCAAGTCATGGCGATTCAGTGTTGTGCGGAAGAAAGACAAGCGCGATCACCATCGCATGTCGGAAAAAGAGCGGGACTTCAAGTTCATCTACGAGGTTAAGTAGTGGACTCCTGTGTTTGTTTTATGCTGTCGATTTGAACGTTGCTGACGTGCATGCATGACAGGAGTCACTGCTCCTCCATGATCTCTTGATCACCACGGACGACAGCATTGCCGATCATCGAATGGACTTTGTGCAGTACATCTATAACGCTATTCAGGAGCACGACGCTGCAATTGTCACACGACTCGATCGCCAGGTACGCCCAATTAAACCTCTTGCAATTTGTCCATAGCAGTATGAATCGCGAAGCAAGGTAGGGTCGCACCGTGTTGCATTATGCCGTGCTCCGAAATTGGGACGTCGACGACGTTGCGTGGGCCGTAAGCATCTACCCTGGTGCGGTAGACGTGCAAGATTGCGACGTAAGAAGTCAGAATCGATTCGAGTACGAATTCGATCGACTGTGGTGGCCAGGGGTTTTCGCCATTGACGTATGCGACCCTGTACGGCCGTCGCGACGAATCGATCCTCCAAATCGCGGTACCGCTTATGCGTCAGGTCCAAGCTAAGGCCACTCGCATGATGGAAGATAGAAACTATGAAGGAAGCAAGCGCGTAAGACAACCAATCGGTTCTTACCCCTTGGTGCCCCCCTCACAACAGCGCATCGTGCAGGTGTTCGTCAAGGCAAGTCGAGACTTTTTGTCAGGCGTGCCGCACTTTGATCAAGCTTTCGTCGAAGTAAAATTCCTTTCCCACGCACAATTGCCATGGACGACGTTGATCCGCAACTCTTGTGATTCTGCAAGGAAACGGCCGTCACCCTCGACGCCACAACTGCGTCTGAGCAAATTGACGCCATGTGGATAGAGTTTCTTGCTGTGTGGGGTCATTTTGGTACGTGGATCGCAAGGCATCACTTTATTGATGTCTGCCGGTCTGGTGTGTGGAGGGAGACTCCACAGGTTGATGGAGGCCTCTTCACCTTCTTACAACCGATTCCAGTTCTTGGGCATGCGAATGTTTTCTCTCATTTCAAGACTAGACCCACCGGAAATCGTGGTGGATTTGCCGGCCAAGTGGCGCGTCACGTTAGGCACCCGCGTAGTCTACACGATTGAGGTCAAAGGCGAGCCGCTGACGTACCAGTGGTTCTGCGACGGAAGGCCGTTGGAAGGATTCACAACAGACACGCTTGACGTCACGGGCAGTGCCGTGGCGGAAGATGCAGGCGCTTACTTTTGTCGGCTCACCAACTGGCGAGGCTCCGTCGACTCGACTACATCCGTGCTCATCGTCCTGGGTACGCCAACGATTGCACGATCCATCTATTCACCTTGGGACAAATACTTTGACGTAGACGATACAGTTGTTGTGGACCCATCTACCCGATACTATCGCACCCTTCCACTGCACCCTCAGGACGTTTTGTTCAACGTAAATGCGGCCGTCGGAGGCGTGCTTGACGTCAACCACGTGCAATTGTTTATCCCACCACGAAGCTTTGAAGTATGGGACTTGTTTGACGCCAACCTGGCCGACACAAGAGGCATGGACGTCGTGATTCGAACGGAGCTGGAGCCTGTGCTGCCACCAATTCCATCACTGGGCGACGGCAATCAAGTAGGCGGTTGGCAGGTTGTGAGTCCTCTTGTGGTTGTGACGCCTCACCCCCTCGATCCATTTCAAATCCCGTGGACTCTTCGACTGCCCCACCACGCAGCACAAATCCAGACGACCAATTCGGACAACCAAGAATTTTCGTCGCACGTGACGGTTTTGCAGTGCATCAAGGACGTCGACAGCGTTCAAACTTTGCACGTCATCCCGCCACGGCAACTCCGGTACACTGACCTCAACTGATTACATTGACCTGGGAACGTCCATGTCATGTTGATGCAAGTTATGGTCATCGAAAACCTGCATGCCTTTCTTCTACTAGGGTCCATCCGACTCATGTGGATATCGACTTGGTGGCGCTTGGGACGTTTGTTGTTGTCCAGAAAGAGTCGCGGCCTGTTCGGGTACATCGCTGCTTTGCTTTTTTGTTTGCCAAGGCGCTAAGAGATGGCATGGTCGGATGGCAACATCGTGTGTAGATGTCTGTGGTCATGTTTGCCAGATCGGACCAGTTGACCGTCGACACGAGTCACGTCCAGTTGGTCGTGTGGAGCTGCCCAACACGGCAAGACTGCCTGGATCTCGTCATGGCATCTAGTTTGTCGCTTGATGGCCCGGACAACCCCTTGTTGCACGTTGGCACATTTCCAATTGTCCTTCCGGCGTCGTCTGCAGCCATTGTCAACGTGGTTTCAGCATCAGGCGACGTGCTGCTTGAAATGATGCTTTGTGGCAAAACTCCTCGTCGTCACGGTGGTGTCGTCGTTCCGTTGGGGGACACGATGCCGTGGACATCACGGGGAATAGCCATGGCCTGCCCCCACCTTGTCCTTTGCGTGATGAACGGTGGTTCGTACAATGTGGACTTGGTCGTTCCATTGAAATGCCACGGTATATGGACTCTCGTTCACATTTACGCAAAATATCAACGAAAGAGTGTAGCAAACCGACCCGTGGCAGGGGCGAAAGTCCTCCAGCATACGCCCAACGGTGTTGACGTTGCGTGGGCCGTTAAGTCAGCAACATGCAAGGCGAACCCTCCGCCGTACTTTGTCGTGGAAATGGCAGCGTTTTCCGATACGTTCTGGCGTCGATACAACGCGATTTGGTGGTTTGAACGGTACGAGCGACAAGCCGTGGCGAGACTCTTGACGCTGTCGTGTACAGAGCCAATGTGTCAGTCGTGCATCGCATGTACAAGGTAGCTCACATGGGCGCCCATGCCACTCAAATCCACATCGCCACCGATGTGCACGCTGCGTCCCTGCGCATAGCTGTATGCAATCTCGATTCATTCGGCGAGTACTCGGGCAACGTCCTTGTCACGCCAGGTCGGTGCATCGTGTGGGTTTTGCAACCTTCATGATAAAGTGACGTCGTAGAATCCGTGGAAGTCGACTACGACGACGAGGGCGATGTCACAAGCTTGAGCGAGCAACGAGAAAAACGCAACGAGGATTTTGTCACATTAAACGGGCTATCGCAGACGTGGCATGACAGCCATCAGCACGTGTTTGATGTCGCAGCGCAAGTTTACTCGTCGCCTTCACTTTTCCGCGCCTTGTACGGCATTCCTTTGACCAGGGACGCGATCGTTGCCATGCTCGAATCCAAGAAGCAGTCGCATCGAGCAGCACATGAAGACATTTCGCTGCTTCTTGTGGGCCTCGACGCTCTCGCGACTGCAGCAGCGTCGACCGTGCATTTTCACCGGTCTGTATGCATGCACTTTTGCAAATGCTTGTCCCTCGCAGCTCGCGTGACTCCTGGTACGGTGCAAGGCGCAACTCGATAGTGTTTTCGTTGTGAAGTTGTTGATGTGCAGTTTTAGCGCTCGATCTCGACCACTCCGCCGCCGCCCACGGTGTTGTACGAGCAATGCACCACGCTGTCCAAGTCCGTCAATGGATATGCACCGATGAATATCAAGAGTTGGTCTTTCCCGTAGGCAATGTTTCAGTTATTGCAGACGGTTGCTGCACCGGGGTGGTTTGGCAGGTGTGGTGTAGTCGACTTGAATCGCGAGTGCTAACGATGGCCTCTGGCTCAGGTTCCTCGTAGCCAGCTCGATGGCTCTGCAGAGCTCCTTCGTCGACGTGCTTGAGGCGCTGGTCATGAAATGTCGGGACCACCCAGTGTTTGATCGCGACCTGGGGCACGGCTTGTTGCTGCATTGGGAAAACCAGCGACACCACGGCGTAGCTGCGGCAGTAATGGATGGGGACGAGTTGAAACAGCTTCACGCATGGAGTGTGGCTCTGCACGCCCGACAGGACCAAGCGTTGTCGCTGGCGTACTTCACCAAGAGCTTCCATGTGCGGTGCTGCCGTGGATGGTGCCTCAAAGACTGATGGGATGGTAGGCGGATATGCTGGACGAAATCACACAGGACCGAGTGGCGCAAGCCCACGTCGATGTTGAGAAACACAACACGCTGAAGACGCGATTGATTTATGTATCGCCACGGCCGGATGAGGTTGTCACGAACGCCGCAACTGTTGAAGTGCGTTTCGACGGAACCGTCGTCGACGTGGACTGTCTGCGCTTCATCACGGTCAAGAACGCGTCCCTGAAGGTTCGTGTGAACGGGAACGTCGCATACGACAAAGTAACGAGGACTGCGGTGTTTGTACCGACGGTGGCGCTCGAAGCAAGGTCGACCTTCAAAGTCAAGCTCCGCGCAGATGCCGTGACGACATGGTATGGTCCAACGTCGACCACAATGAAGCACTCGTTCACAACCAAGCCAATGTGACGCATAACAAGAACATAACAACTCCATTGTTTTTCCTTTCCCTCTGTCCACATGCAGCCATCGCCATGTCAATGGCGCACACACACACACAGATGTCGATTCTCCCATGACGTCCACCCACCGCTTCCAAGTTCAAGGAGAAACGCGCTAAGTACGCCGAGACAAATGAAGTACAGATGTATTTAGCTGTTTCTATGTATCTTTTAAAAAATGACATCCCATTTGTGCATCAGTGGGTCCGAGTTTACGTTTTATCTTGGAATTTGTATTTTCGGTGTCGGAAATTATCCGGCGTGACGATTGACATGCTGCAATGATATTTGTAAACGCGCACTTAATAGGACAAGGACGTTCCACGGGTAGCGTTGATCTCTCATTTGAACTTTAGGCAAGACATGAGCGGGCAAAGTAGCGTTGTCGTGCTGGACGGGTGCTCGCTGCAGACTGAGGACCTGGTGCTGCTCTCGAAAGGCCGCACCAAGCTCGAGCTGAGTCCAGACGCGTGGGCCAAAGTCAAGGCGAGCCGTGACGTCGTGGACAACATCCTGCGCGAAAAGAAGGTCGCGTACGGCATCAACACGGGCTTTGGATTGTTTTCGAACGTGGTCATTTCTGAAGACAAGCTGTCCGAATTGCAAGAAAACCTCATCCGATCCCATGCGTCCGGCGTCGGCGAGCCCTTGTCGCCGTCTGCCACGCGAATGCTCCTTGCCCTCCGCATCAATGTTCTGTCAAAGGGCCATTCTGGCATTTCCGTCGACACGTTGCAACAATTGGTCGCTGCATTCAACGCCGACTGCTTGTCCATTGTGCCCGAGAAGGGCACGGTTGGTGCGTCCGGCGACCTTGCGCCACTTGCGCACTTGGCCCTTGGTATGATGGGCGAAGGCAAGATGTACGACACCCGTGACAACAACAAGATCAAGGACGCGTGTGAAGTCCTTGCCAGCCGCGGCCTGCGCCCCGTGCACCTCAAGGCGAAGGAAGGTCTTGCCATGATCAACGGCACGCAACTCATCACTTCGATCGGGTGCGAGGCCGTTGTTCGCGCCCAAAACGTTGCCGAATGCGCCGACATAGCGGTTGCCCTCACCCTCGAAGTGCTCAAGGGTACTGTGAATGCGTTCCACCCGCGCATCCATGAAGTGCGCCCGCATCGCGGCCAGCAACTTGTCGCCAAGCGCATCCGCACGCTGCTCCAGGCCGACAAGCCATCCGATCTCTTCCGCAGCCACAACTACGAGGGCAAGGTTCAAGATGCGTACACGCTTCGATGCGCGCCGCAGGTCCACGGCGTCGTCAATGACACGATCGAATTTGTTCGCAACATTTTGACTGTGGAAATGAACTCGGCCACAGACAACCCCATGGTATTTGTCGGGTCCGCGGATGTCACGACCGACTTCACGCCGATCAAGACCGACCAAGAAGAGCAAGCGGGTCCTCAGCCAGAGACGTTGACGGAAGCCCAAGCGGAAATTGCGCGCCTCAAAGCGCTCCTGGCCGAGAAGGAGAGCGCCCACCCGAGCATGAAGCGCACGTCCGACACGTTTTACCGCGGTGGCGGCGGGTTTATCATTTCGGGCGGCAACTTCCACGGCGAATACCCCGCCAAGGCCCTCGACTTCCTCGCCATCGGTGTGCACGAACTTGCGTCTATCAGCGAACGCCGCATTGAACGCCTCGTGAACCCTCACTTGAGCGGCATGCCAGCCTTCTTGGTCGCCGAAGGGGGCCTCCACTCTGGATTTATGATTGCTCACTGCACGTCCGCCGCCCTCGTGTCGGAGAACAAAGTACTTTGCCACCCTTCGTCCGTCGACTCGCTCTCGACGTCCGGCAGCAAGGAAGACCACGTGTCCATGGGCGGGTGGGCCGCGCGCAAGGCGCTCACTGTCGTCTCCCACGTCGAGCTCGTGATCGCGATCGAACTCATGTGTGCGTGCCAAGCGCTTGAGTTTCAGCGCCCCCACAAAACGACCGACGCGTTGGAAGCGGTCTACAAGCTCGTGCGCACCCGCGTCGCGCCTTTGGACAAGGACCGATACATCGCCCCGGACATTGACGCGATCGTCGACTTGGTCCGCTCCGGTGCCATCGTCGACGCTGTTCGTCCGTATTTGCCATAGACAACAACAACGCGGAATCGAGTAATAGAAACCTGCATCACGGTGACGTGCGGCGCAGCTTCCTCCCCCGAGGATTGCGACCGATGGTGGTGGTGGGGAGGCGACAAACCTCGTTGTCGATATCGTCTACCACACGAAAGCATGGCCCGAGTCCCCGGTAGCGGTGTTGGTTTGAATCGCCACGAACGGAAACAACGGCGCGAGTGTCGCAGCCGAAGGCTCGAACCCGATTCGGCGGGCGGGTCGCCCTGTCCCAGGTCGACATGGATGGTGGCCACGAGGCAGTTGCATGGAATTCAACGACGTCAGAGGGTGGGGTCCACATTGCCTCACGTTCTTGTCGTGGCCATGTGGATGGAGGTCAAAGCAGGGGGCGAGGATCGGCGCGACGACAGTTCCGGCGTGCATGGCGGAGGCGTCGAGTACCTCTTGTTGGTGGCGTACGGCCTCGTCGTCCTGGCGTTGTTCGTGTGCGGGATCTGGAATCTTCTCCAACAGCATCGCCCGACCACCACGAACGTGAGCATCCTCCCTGGCCAGCACCATGTAATGGACCTATGGACCGAGTACGTGCCGTCGCGGGTGAGTTGCGTTTACAAGCAATGCATAGGCATGCGGCCATGTGGACATGCGCCGTGTGCGGGCACGACAATATGTGCCAGGAACGACTGGCGCAGTCGTCGCTCCGACATAGCCTTCATCGAAGTTCGTCGTTGTGCCTCATGTGCGGGTCGCCATCCCGCCATGATTCGTCGACCTCATTTCCATCGTCAGCTAGCCCTCCTACGCACCCCACTTCGCCGCCATTCGTGACGCCGCAGTTGCTCTCGGCATCGTACGATCGCATGCTGACGTTGCAAAGACACCTGTCCACACTCTGGTAGACATCGACGAGATTGGACCCGGCGAGTCGTGCCGTCGACCTCGGCGGCAGAAGGCCCCCATGTCGAGGTATGGGAAGCCTCGGCCCGTGGTCCACCAACGCCGCCGCTCGGTCGCCCTCTCGTTGGGTACATTGCTGTTTGTGTTTCATCGCCGACGCACGCATGCGGCCGCCTGGTCCCGCAGACAACGTCCGAATTCAACGCGGCGGCAGTCGCATCGCTCAAGACAAACCAAAGCCATGCACCGGTCGCGCCATTGCGCCATCGCCTGCCATTCCCACAAAAGTACCACATGTGGCTCACCCAAGTCGCCAAAGCAAAAGAGCGCTACCGCCACCGTCTAGTATACGTTCGAGCGTCCCGACAGACGACGTCGGTGGTGCCGCTTGCCGCTGAGCGACTCATGGCGCTATCTCCCGAAGAGCTTCACTTTCCCCTGAGCATTCGGTTTGCGGGCGAGCCGGGGGTCGATGCAGGGGGCTTGGAGCGTGAATGGTACAACACGGTGGCAACGGCGCTGTTCGACCCTGCGATGGGCTACTTTGTCCAAGTCGAGCACACGTCCAAGTCGATGCTGATTCACCCGCATGCGTCTCCCAAGGTATGTCTGCGCGCGCGACTTGTGCCGCAACGCTCTTCTTGACATGCACAACGGCGTTGTTCGTAGTGGTTTCGGGGCATTGGACGATTCTTGGGCCGCGCGCTTTTTGACGGCCACCCGATCCCTGCACGGATGAATGGGGTCCTGTACAAGCAATTGCTCGGCGTGCCATACAGCGTCGACGACATTCAGTTTATCGACGCGTCCGTCTACCGCAGTTTGAAGTGGATGTTGAGCCAGCAATCCCCTGACGACTGTGTCTGCACCCTCGAAGCACTCGAATTGGACTTCACCGTCATGGAGCAGACTTTGGACGAGCGCGGCCGCCCGACCGGCACCTCCCGCGTCGTGGATTTGAAACCCTACGGACGGCAGTGCCGCGTCACCAACGCCAACGTTGCCGAGTACGTTGAGCTGTACGTGCACTGGCTCTGCCTCACACGAGTGTCTGCATGTGTCGCGGCCCTTCGGCGCGGGCTGCAGGATGTCCTTCCGCCGTCAATGTTGCTGCTGGACATGATGGACCACAAGGAGCTCGAGCTGTTGCTTTGTGGTACGACGTGTTTTTTGTTTACGTTCTCTCGTGCGTCGTGGGTGAGGTCGTTGCAATGATAGGTGTCCAAGAGATTGATGTCACCGACTGGAAAAAGTATACATTTGTGATCGCTTCAAAGGCGGCGGTGGACCCCGCCGACGTTGTCGGGTGGTTTTGGGACGTCGTGGCCGCCATGGCGCATGATCGCCAAGTCAAGTTGCTGCAGTACGTGACCGGAAGCGTGTGCGTGCCATTACAAGGTTTTCAGGTGGAGTGTTCCACGTCCAGGCCGCCATCGTCGACGGGCACCCGGCGTGATGAATGGTCTCTGTAGGCTTTGACGAATCGGGACGGATCGATCTGCCACTTTACATTGCGCATCGTGTCACTCGACGAGGCTGCGTATCCTGTGGCCCATACGTGCTCGAATCGGTGAGCAGTGATCCTCCGTCGAGGCGTGATGCGGTTCTGACGATTCGTTTGGGGACGCAGGCTGGACCTGCCGCGTTACGAAGACCAGGCAACGCTTCGTCATGCCCTCGACATGGTGCGTCGGCGGCTTGGTTCACAACTACTCACGCGGCACTTTGTGCTAGGTGACGGCCATGGACGTGACGGGGTTTTCGACAGCATAATGGATAATTAAACGGTTTCAGTTTTGGAATGGCAGTTTCACGGTGAAAGCGCCAAAGATTTTTTCGGTGGATGCAACCCCCGTCATTCAAGGAACATGCGGGAGGACGAGGTAAGCCGCGCCGTGGCGAGTGACGTCAGGGGCGTGTGTAGATGCATGAGTGTGCTGCCGTCGTGGCAACGCCATTGCCACACGACGACGAATCGACCAAACACCTTGCTCGCTTGCGTGAGGACAACAATGGCGCAGCGGTGCCGCGCGTGAAAGTCACGACATCCGGTATGCCAGTACAATGGCGATGACAACACTCGACGACGACCTGCGTGTGTCTGTAGAGTCGGAGCCGACCCACGCTGCGCATGACGACGGCCACTTCGCGTCGACGGAGTTCGAATACGACGTAGGGTTCCACCGGCGCACTCGTCGAGCTCGACGTGGTGCTGTTTAGGTCTCATTTGACGAAGTCAAGATCGGGCTGTCGCTAGAGGTCATCCATCCAAATGTTGTACGCGTCAAGGACACCTCGGGGCCGGCGAGCACGTGCGGTTGCATTCAGGTGGAGCTGTTGTTGGTGCTTCGTTGAAAATCACGTTGGATAGGTTGGAGACGTGCTCGTTCGCGTCCATGGCCACGATATTGCTCACGACCGGTTCGCGCAAGTCATGCTCACGCTCAAGTCGGCGCCGCGCCCGCTGCATCTGCATTTCCGTCGCCCCATGCGAGCAGTGGAGCTTCCACCAAACTTCGAGCTGGACCGGGAACATCACCTCGCCAGCGCCTGGCGGCCCAACGACATGGACAGCGTGTGTGCTTGTCACGAGGAAGATGACGAAGGTGACGACGATAGCAACGTCGACACTGCTCACGACGACAGCTACTCGCTTCCCGGCTCGAGCATCAGCAGTCGCCAGTCTCGAGCTCTACGGCGCGCACCTTTGCAAAGAACGGATGCGCCATGTCGGCAGCCCGACGCGCCAGAGAACGATGGCGAAGGCCCTCTACCGACCCGCGCGCCATCGAGCCTTGCCGCGCAATGGAAATCGATCACGGACTGGTCCTTTGGACTAACCAAGTTATCACCGCCACCGCCTTCAATCATCCAACCTTTCGACGACTTTCAAACCGCCATGTTGTCCTTGCGAATCGAGCCACCCACAGCGTCGTTGCTGCCGGCAACTCCAGGCCGACCAACACCGAGCGAGGTATGGAAACCGTACGAGCTGGACCTGCTTTCTTAGTCCGGAATCTCTGACCACGCAGGACGGCGCCGCGCTGCTACTTCGGTGGCAGCCCTGCGTTGGCGCTAAGACGTATCACTTGCAGCAATCTCGCGACTGGCCCGTCAAGGTGTGGAAGCAATGCAGCACGACCCCCATTCAGCCGAGCGTTCGCCAAACCGATCATCCAGCTGGGGACGCTGAGGTGCCGACGGACATGGCGCTCCTCGAGTGCGTCGTCTACGGCCTCGACTTTAGCCGATCGTATGTGTTTCGGGTCCGGTGCGCGCTCGAGTCGGGTGCGTGTGGAGACTTTAGCGACGCCAGCGATGCTATCACCACGAGCCCGAAAGCACCCAAGTACGTTCCAAGGCATTCGCCTTCCCTCCGCCTGCACTGCACATCAGCTCATGGACGACGTACCTCTCTTGTGCTGTGAAAACGCAGCGCACAGAGCCCCGTCAAGATGAGCGGAGCATGTATCCCGACGCCGCCGGCCGACGTCGCCCTCGTGTACCATTCCGACTTTGAAGGCGATTCGAACGCCATGAGTTTGGTCGTGACGTGGACGGCTGTGCCACACGCTACAGCGTATCAAGTGCAGTGGATGCGGCATGGCCAGCGGCTGGTGTGGCGCAACTCCCCCGAGTTGAGTGCGTGGGAAGTTGCTGTCGACCAGCCAAGCCCGGAGAGAGTGGAGAACGAGACTGCTGCTGCTGCTGCTGCACCAACCATGCAATACATGTTGCAGGGTACAGCAACATCCAGCGGCTCGTGAGTGTTGTCACTGGTTGTACTCGGAGAGTAGGCTTGGCTTCATGCACGGAATACGTGGTGCGCATTCGAGCTGCATGTCGTGCACCGACCGCAGCAGTCGTATGGGGCGACTTTAGCGCGTGGTCGTCGCCGTTGGCCACGATCGCGAGCGAAGAAGACTTGATGCATGCCCGAGACGCGCTGGCGAGGAAGGAGGCGGCCATGGCAGTCGTGGACCATATCAAGAACATGGCCAACTCAGTCAAAGGTACAACGTCGTTTTGTTGTCGGCATATGGACGTGGTGCTGCGATGTAGAGGCCGTCGGGGGCCGCCCGCCCGCGACTGCACCGGCCAGCAGCAACAATGCCGGCCTCTTTGCTCAAGTGTGTCAGCTGTACAAGTCCTAGCGCGGTGTACCCTCCCAGCGCCGCCGCAACCTTTTTCCCCCGTTCGATCGCCCTCATGCAGTTGTGCATTTACAAACTGAACTCGGCGCAATTGCATGCAATTTTTATTTGCACACACACAAGTGTGAACTCATGGCCGATTCTCACGAGCCGTGGAGAGGGACAGCCACCTCCCTGCGGCTGGCTTTGCGTTTTCGGTCGTAGAAGCGTATTGTCGAGTCCACTGCCGGTGGTATCGAGTCTCAGCTGTGGCGGCAAACACAGCGGCGAAACGGACTGCATTTTCGCGGGGACGTCGCATCCTCCAAGTGCCCTCATGAATGCTCATGGCGTGGTCTATCGACAGACTGCCGCCACGACCGACAAACACTTGGCCCTGGGGAGCGTCGCGGCCGCTCTGATCAATGTCCAACATGACTCGAATTCCGCGCACGTGGCGGCAATTGGCACGAGAATGCGAGCGCAGATGACGTACTTTAAGCTGCAAGTGGTTGAGATGCGCCAGAGACAACTGTCATGTGCTGGATGGAAGCATCTGTTGGTTATGACGGGTTCAGCTTGCGCTGCTTGTCGCGATCTGCTTTTTCCAACTCAAACTTGCGCGCATCCACGCGGTGCAAAAAGTCCTGCTTCTCCAAGTACCTAGACGCCATCTCGTCAGCCCGACGAGCGATTCCGTTTCAAGGGATGCGTACCCGTCCTTCGTGTAGTGCGTCAGTTCGTCCGCAATCCCGGCTTTGTCCTTATACGAGTCCCAATCCAAGCTCGACTTTTCGATCGTCGACACCTTCTTCGGTTGGTTTATCGAGGCGAGGGCGGCATCGAGGCCGGACGCGCGAGGTCCCGTCGCGGCGGACTTGGTCACGCTGATCGAGGAGGTTAAGCATTGTAATCTGGAAGAGGCGGCTACCTATATTCCTCGCCGGCATACTTGAGCACTTGAGTCGTTACGGCAGGAGCCGCGGTGGTTGTTGGAAGGTCTGTGGGGGATGTCAAGGCGGACGTCGGGGTGCACCCGAGGACTGGGACTTTGAACTCGTACACCTTTTGCTTCTTCTTCTTGGACGAGGTTCCACCGAGGAGCTTGTTCAAGAGCTTGGACGGGGAATGTAATGAGAATGGGGCGACGGGATAGCGAGTACCTGCTGACTCTTGGTCGATGCTTTTGTGGACACAGACGTGGCCGCCTGAAGTTCGCCCCACAGATCGTCCACTTTACGCTTTCCTGCGATTTCTACTTGCGTGGCACTGCCCTTTTTGCTCAGTTGTTGTCGCTCATATCTACATGCACACCATCAGCTAGGTTCGGAACGTTGCAAGCTCTTTGTCTTGCACTCACTCAGCTTCATCTTTGGCGTCGAGCGCATCTTCCAGCTGTCCTTCCACGTCGGCCTCTACGACGTGCACGTCAACCTGCCATCTCCACTTATTCGTCTGTGTACCAGGATCGTAGTCGTCATCTTCTGAACTAGCAGCGTCGTCTGGGACGCCCTTTAGGGTGCTCTTATCCGCCATGTTGTTGGAGCACAAGACGATGTCCGGATAAAAAATCCTTTCCGGATGGTTAGAATGCGGATAAACATCCGGAAAGCAAAGATCGACGACAAATTGCGTAAGGTCACATGAACCTGCCGACTTTTGCATGTGAACTTCCACTCGTCTGGCATCGCGACTCGGGCGCGAGCAGCAATACTTGCAGTTCTTGTGGTGGCGTGCACCCCCTTGCTATCTTTTCAAGTTGCCCAGCCACTGCATGGACAACATCGTCGAGCCAAGCTCGAGCGCCTTGCTCTGGGTGGTAGTTGTCCCAACAACGATCTCGACGATCATCCGACCTTCAAGAGCCACCACCTCGTGCGGCTCCCAAAACAATTGATCGATCAAATTGCTAGTACTTTCTTATTGTACATCCAGAACATGACTAGGTTGTTGACGTGGGGCACCCAGCGGGAGAGCTCCCTCGATGTCCCAGTTTTTGTCACGTCTTCTGATTGGCCCGTTGCTGTTATTGGTTTGGTGTGAGAGACAAGCGAGTGCTGTGATTGGTCAAAACTCTCATTGTTCAATTTGCAGCGTCGAGCTCACATCGGTTTGAACGATGGCGCCAAACGGCCGCAACGTGTCGTCCGAAGCGTCCACTGCGCACGCATCGTCGCGGCAGGAAAAACCGGTGAAAGGACGCACGACGTACCGCTTCCGGTCCGTCCCGCCACCGAAATTGTCAGACCGTGTGAGGCGTATTGTCGAAGACATCAAGCGAAAACACCGAACAGGTATGCAGCTCGTAGTCACACCATAGGTGCTTTGCATATACTCAATCTTGCGCATCTCGGCACAGACATGCGCATCGAGGCATGGTACAACCAAGGGTTTGCTGGTTCGGATATATGCGACATGCCGCTGGACGAATCGAAAGGAATCAAGCGCGAACTGTGCAAGGATTTGAGTGTTGAAAGGTTCATTGAAGAGTACGAAAAGCCTGCCATTCCTCTCGTCATTGAAGGCATCCCAGAAGACGAGCAATGGCGTGCGTGTGAAAACTGGACCCTAAAGGTCGGGTATTCATCCTTCTCGATTCTCATGTTGTGTGTAGAAGCTCAAGAAGCAATACAAACACGCCATGCTAAAGGTCGGTGAAGATGACGACGGCAAGACGTTACGCATGAAGTTCAAGCACTTTTGCAAGTACATGAAGGTGCGTGGACTCCTCCATCCAGCGCGTCGTCTTACTTGTACACATAGACCCAAATCGACGACAGTCCATTGTACATCTTCGACAGCACATTCGACGACAAGCGGGAGACAGCACCGCTGCTCTCCGATTACAACGTGCCGCGATATTTTCCCGATGACTTGTTCTCACTCGTCGGGGAAGACCCTCGACCGCCGTACCGCTGGTTCTTGGTTGGGCCCAAGCGCTCAGGTAGGAAAAATGCCGCCTATGCTGCATTCCAAGTGGGGTGTTTTGGCAAAGTTGTTGAGTTGTTGAGTTCCATGTAGTGAATCCGAACATGCGATGTTTGTGTAGGAACGTGCGTTCATGTTGACCCATTGGGGACGAGCGCATGGAACACGTTAATTGTGGGCCGCAAGAGATGGGTGGTCTTCCCCCCTTCTGTCGACAAAAAGACAGTCAAGGCCAAGAGGCATGTCCTTCCAGGAGAAGATGACGAGGCGGGCAACTACTTTTGCGACATGCTGCCGCGCATGGTCGCCGAAGACCCGAATCTGGAGTACATGGAGTTCATGCAGTACCCAGGGGATACCGTGTTCATTCCAGGCGGGTGGTGGCATGCCGTGTACAACGTGGACGACACGATCGCTGTCACACAGAACTATTGTTCCCATGCCAACTTTGAGCGCGTATGGCGAAAGACACGGTCCGGGCGCAAGCGCATGGCTGTCAAGTGGCTCAAACAGCTTCAAGTCCACTACCCCAAGCTTGCGGCCTTTGCAGTCCATCTCAACGAACAGGACGATTACACCATGTATTCGAAGGAGCACTCGAAACGCAGCAAGGACGTAAGTGACGACGAAAGCGGCAGCATGATGTCGAAGAAGAAGAAGATGTCGTAGATAGATGGATGTACCTATTTTAAGGAGCACATCGGCCTCCTCCATGTGCGCAGAGGGCCATCAGCACTGCGACGAAGCCCCGCCGCGCCGTCGCACACATTTGAACCAGTATTCACCTGGATAATTTATCCGGATGCTGTTAGCGTATAACATTTCACGGGCAAAAACTCGCGCGAAACAATAAATAATTTGAGTGACCCAACTCCGGCAGATTTTTAAGGCGGCAACCCATGGACATTCGCAGCTTCTTCACGCCGCAAGGCGGCGGGCCAGCAAAGCTAAAAGGGGCTGCAACAGAAACAGCCAAGTCAGAAACCAAAGCGGTGTCCGCGCCCGCCAAACTTGCGCCTTCGTCCAAGGGAAAGGAGTTGAAACCAAAAGCGTCTCCGTCAAAGCAAAAGAAATCGACCACCGACGACGATGGCAACGAAAACGATGTCCAGCCTGTGCAAAGCCAGCGCGGCCGGCAAACGCGCAAGGTGATTGAGTTGGACTCGGGTTCCGACATCGAAGAAGTGGTGGCGCCGCCCAAGAAGCAGCCAAAGACAACGACCAAACCCGTACAAACGGACTCTCGAAAACCACAACCTGTTGCTGGTGCAGTTCCCAAGAAAGAGCCTGCCATTCAAAAATCGTCGACTAAAGTGAAAGCAGAGGTTGAAAACGACGCGTCGGACTCCACGAATATCCAAGCGGTGGCGACGCGGGTGCCAGAAGGCCGCCCGGGGTGTTTGGACGGCCTAACGTTTGCCTTTTCCGGTGTCTTGGCTGGTCTTACCCGAACAGAAGCCGAAATGACGGTCAAGCGCTATGGCGGGAGTGTGTCGGCTAACATCACAGGCAAGGTCAAGTACCTCGTGGCTGGAGACAAGCTGGAGAACGGCGGCGGCGTGGCGGAAAGCTCCAAGTACAAAGAAGCTGTGTCTCGAGGCACGCGCATTCTGACCCAGAACGAATTTTACAACTTGATTTTGGAACGTTCGCAGTCGTTGCCGCGGTCGCCAGCAACGTTTGGCGGCAAAGGCAAACAAAAAGCAATGGTCGAGCCCACGAACGGCAACGCGATGCTGTGGCCAGATAAACACAAGCCCAAATCGATGGCCGACGTCATCGGGAACCAGGAAATGGGTCGCAAGCTGGTCCAGTGGCTCAACGACTTTCATGACGTCCATGTCACGGGTACGGCAGTCGGTGCATCGAGTTGCGAATGCGCTTGCGCCCCTTGAGTCTCCATTTGCTACTTGTTGGATTCGTCTCTGCACGTGCTTGTACGAGGTGGGGCGGAATGCCCACAGTGTGTCATGCCTTGAATGGCTATCGTTTCGATGGCTCGAACGCAAAGCATGCGCGTTGTTCCGATAATGTTGGCGCGCTCATTGCACGTCGTAGGGAGAAAGAAGGTGCCGTTCAACCCCAAGTCTACGGAAAATCGCGGCGCACGGACGGTGCTGCTGTCGGGACCCCCCGGCATTGGCAAGACGACGCTGGCCGGCCTTGCTGCCGCCGAATGCAACATGGACGTAACGGAACTCAATGCAAGCGATGCGCGGTCCAAGAAGATTCTTCAAGCAGGGCTGAGCGACATTGTTGGCACGCAAGCGCTGACGTTCGGATCGTCCCAACACAATGTCGGCCTCAAATCTCGAGTGATCATCATGGATGAAGTGGACGGGATGTCGTCGGGAGACCGCGGTGGGATGGCCGAGTTGATTGCGATCATCAAAAAGTCCAAAACCCCCATCATTTGCATTTGTAACGACCGGCAGAGCATGAAGGTCCGGTCGCTGGCGAACCACGCATTCGACCTAAAGCTGCGGCGCCCAACCAAGACGCAGATCGCGACACGACTCCTTCAAGTCGCGGCGCGCGAAGGCCTCCATGCCGAGAAGAATGCGTTGGAGGAAGCGGCCGAGCGGTTTGGTAACGACATTCGGCAGCTCCTCAACTGGATGCAAATGTGGCGTCGCAACCAAACGTCCATGACGTACGACGACGTGGTCAAGCAATTTTACCAGAGCGAAAAGGACGACGTACGTCGCTTTGTTGAGCCCGCGTTGAGCACCGCGCATTGATCGAATGTATTATTCAGGTCCTGCGCCTCAACCCGTTCAGCGCGACGCAGCAGATTTTTAAAACCGGCGCGTCGTTCAACGACCGGAACGAAGCGTATTTTGTCGACTACGACTTGATGCCGCTCATGGTCCAGGAAAACTACATGCAGAGCATCCAAAACAAACGGTGTTCGGCCGACGAAAAACTCGAATTTGCCGCGTTGGCGACCGACTTGTTGGCTGAGAGCGACCTCGTCAGTGTGTACATTCGACAGGAACAGGTGCGACCTTTTGTTTCCGGTGAACGGATGACTGGATGGACGCGTAGAGATGGGATCTGCTGACCAAACAAGCCGCGCTCAATGTTGCTGCGTGCGTGCATGCAGAAGGGTTTGTCGGCCGTCCCGAATTCACCAGGTACGTCGACCACCTCGTTGGCTTGACATCGGTCGATCGACCTGGACTGGCATGCACGACGTAGGTGGATGGGGAAGAATTCCACAGCCGGCAAGGCCAAGCGACTGCTGGGCGAGCTATCGATCCGTATGCGCGGCCATGCATCTGGCGCGCGCAATGGTACACGACGTGTGCGACTTGTGCGTCATTCACGTTGCGTGGTTGTAGCAATTCGCATGGACTACGTGCCGTACATGAAGGAAATTTTCCTGACCAAGCTCTTGTCTGGCGAAGAGGTGCGTGGGCTGTAGGCAGACCGACGACACGAACGCGATGTCTGCGTAGAACGTGGATCAAGTGATTGCGATGCTTGATGCGTGTGAAATCAGCAAGGACGACTTGACCGACTCGATGGAATTTTTCAAGCTCCCGGGGGTCCCGCGCCACACGTACGCCGAGTTGGATTCGAAAGCCAAGAGCGCGTTCACGAGGCAGTACAACAAGGTCGCCCACAAGTCGCAGGCACTGGTAGAGGCCGATCTGTTGGCGAAACCTGCCAAGAAATCGGTCAAGACCAAGGGGGCGGACGACTTGGACGGCGTCGACGGACTGGATGAAGGCGTCAACGACGACGACGACAAAGACGGCGACGACGACGACACAGACGTGATGCGGTTTCAAAAAGCCAAGAAGAAAACACCAGTTGCTAAACGAAAGGCTCCCGACGGATCGACTGCGAGCGCGTCGAAAAAGGGAAAGGCCCCCGCTAAACGTAAATAATGAATCGGGGACGACGTCGTGTGCACCGTGCGTAGTTGTACAAGGGTTACTGGGTCCAAATTTCCAGGGATGTTCCGTCCAAATGACGAGACGATGCAAAGATGGTTGTGACGTCGTCAAAACTTCAAAGCAGCAGCCGACCGTCGATGGACTTTTTTTCGACGGAACAACAGCGAGACAACTACCCAAAGGAGCGGAAAAATCTCAACTTTACATGCGTCAATCCACCATGTCCACATTCTCCTGGGACGTGCCGCCGTCCTTGCCGCGGTTATCCTACGAAAAAAAGCGTAGGATTCAAGACACACGACGGGCGTTGTTCAACACATGGGACGTTACCTTGTCGTTCGCGTAGTGCTCTGCGTCGTGTTGACGCTTCGTTCCGTCATGGTCGACGCGCTGGTCAGGGTCGATCGCGTCGTCGTCTTCTTCTTTGAGCACAAAATCAGGCGGCATGACGGACATTTGAACGCTAGGCGCGCCGTTCAACATGCGCAAGTGCTCGAAAATCTTAGCCCTACGTACTCCACGTCAGACCGTCTTTATCAAAAACGCGGCGGCAAACACACTTGATGTCTTCGAGATACGCCCGCGAGTTGCAATTCTCCAAGTCCGTGTTCGGGTCGAGATGGAGCTTGAACGACGGCGCATAGTACTCAAAATATTCGTTGAACGGGATGTCGTTGCTCACGGTTTCGTCGAGGCAGACGGCCGTCTCGTAGGCCCAACACCGACTCACGTTGCGGATGGTGTACCCGCCGCCACCCAGGACCATGGTCGGCAGTCCAAAGCTCTTGACGAATTTCACGCATTCGCCATGTCCTAGAAGGAATATCAGTGGAGTGCAAGTTGGGCAAGAGGAAGGAGCAGCAGCACCTTGCACGGTCAAGTTGAAGCACCCGAGGCGATCGCCTGTGAGCGAGTCCGCACCACACTGCAACACGATTGCGCCCGGCCGAAACGACTCGATCACTTTTTCAATCACAGGTTTGAAAATCGTCAAGTAATTGTCGTCGTCGATCCCGCTCTTGAGCGGGCAGTTGACCGAGTAGTATTTGCCTGCCTTGGCTCCAATATCCTACACCGCAACGAGCATGTCACAGCGCCACAACGATGCGTCCTACGTTTACCTTGATGTCGCCCGTGCCTGGGAAAAAGTCGCCATACTATATCGACGACCTGAGATCAAATCTCATGGAAAAATCCAATCAAGTACCTTGTGAAACGACACAGTCATCACGCGGTCGGTGACGTAGAACGCTTCTTCGACGCCGTCGCCGTGATGGACGTCAATGTCAATGTACAACACACGTGGATGGTACCTACAGGCCCATGCATGGATGGAATCCACGAAAGCCCGCGCGCAGGAAAACGTACTTGAGCAACTCCAAAATGCCCAGCACAATGTCGTTGATGTAGCAAAACCCTGACGCTTCCGACTTTTTCGCGTGATGTAATCCTCCCGCCCAATTGATCGCGACGTCCGTCAGTCCATGGTTTAACCGATATGCCGCATCTATGCAGACAAAACCACCATGTATGTGAGAGACGTTGTGTTTAGATCGACGTTGTGGCGCGTCGTACCGAGGGATCCACCGGAGTAAATCTGGCAAAAGTTGAAGATCCCATCAAAGACAGGGCAGTCTGTGAACTCGCCGACGTTGACTAGGCCGCAGGACGATGAGTACGAGGGAGCGCAATGTCGTGAAATGTGGACGGACATTTGTTGACGTCCGACTGGTACTGCTTTTCGTTTGACGGACTGATTTTCTTGAGGAACTCGACGTAATCGGCGGTGTGGAACGCTTTGACTTCTTCCGACGATGCCCAGTGGGGTTCCTACCATCCTCTGCATCAAAAATATGCTCCACGATCTAGCTAGTGAACGTACAAACACTTCCATCTTGCGGAACAAGTCGTAGTTCAACACGAGGTGGTGCGCCAACTTGAGTCGGTGGGGCTTCATGGGATGGCCCGGGCCATAGTAAAAGTTCCCTTCCTCCGCTACGCACATCAACCATCATCATGTTAGCCATAAAACACTTCCTCGGGCGCCGCACGGTGGTAGAAGTAGGACACGCGCGACTTCCCCATTGCGGTGATGCTGCGACGACCGACAGATTGATTGCTTGGAATGCCGTAAAGAAACATCCGGACAATTTATCCGAAATCGTACCTTAAAGAAACATTCTATCCAGAAATTGTGTTAAGTGCGTCGTACTTGTCTTTCCATTGCCGCGCAATTCCACTCGCGCGAGTTCGATCGATCGCTCTGTCCGTCCGTCCACCATGTCGACCGATTCATTCTCGCCAGAGCTCCTAGCGCTGTACTATGACCGCCTCTTCCCTTACGAAGAAATGGTGCAATGGCTGGGCTACGACGCCAGTGTCGCCAAGGACAACAGTACGCCCAACACATTGCTCAGTCGTCGCGAGTTTTCGTTCACACTCGAAAACGACCAGTACATTCGCTACAAAGCTTTCCATAACGCTGATGAAATGAAGACTGAAATGAAGCGCCTGATGCCCCACAAGATTGATATCGGCGCGGTCTTCTCGGTGTCGGTACGTCCTGGCCAGCGTCCTGAATGTGTGGGACGAACTCGTGTTTGGTTAGCCCATGGACAAAGGCAAAGTGGACAGCTCCAAGTTTACGCCAGTAGAGCGAGAGCTTGTATTTGATGTGGATCTTACAGATTACGATGACACGCGTACGTGTTGCCAATCCGCTGCGATTTGCCACAAGTGTTGGCAGCTCATGGTGGCCGCCGTCAAAGTCATGGATCGAGGGCTGCGAGGTGCATTGGTCCGCGCATGATCGTCATGACGACGGACTCGTAGAGGATTTTGGATTCCAACACATCCTGTGGGTATATTCCGGGCGTCGAGGGATCCATTGCTGGGTGTCGGACACAACATCGCGCCTGCTCACCAACGAAGCGCGCACGGCCGTCGTTCAGTACTTCACCCTCGTGGAGGGGAGCGAGCACGTCAAGCGCAAAGTCAAGCTGACGGAGCCTTTGCATCCGTCTCTTGAGTATGTACCGTCTCGGATCTATCGGTCACGCGTTGTTGTAGGCGAGCGTATTCCATTCTGGAGCCCATGTTTGGCGACGTCATCTTGGGCCCGTCCGGTCAAAGCGTTTTGTGCTCGCAAGACAACTGGACCAACCTGCTCGACATGGTGCCTGACGACGGTGCGAAAATCCACGACAACCAACGACAAACCACCGAAACCTTGTGTGCATTCGCTTAGACATTCGGTCCAAATTGGATTGCGCTTGGTCTCAGCAACTCGACGCGACGACGCCCGTCGAGAAATGGGACCAACTCAAAGCGGCCGTCGAAAGAGCTGTGCAGGACAAGAAGCGCAAGAACGTAAGCGCTGCTCGCACAGTCGCCATTTCATCAGGATGGCCCGTAGCTCTCGGATGAACGTCGCCGCCTTCTCCGAACGTGCATTGCCGAGATTGTGTTTTCGTACTTGTATCCTCGGCTGGATGCGAACGTGTCCAAGCAACGTAACCACTTGCTCAAGAGTCCGTTTGCCATCCATCCGAAAACAGGTCCCGCACCTTTAGTCAACGACATGGCGCGACCGCTCACACTGTGTCGTCGGTAGGACGAGTGTGCGTGCCGATTGATCCGCGCCGCATAGACGACTTTAATTACGAGACTGTGCCGACGCTCGCATCGCTCGAGCGCGAGCTCAACGCGAAGGGCAGAGGTACGTGAAGTTGATGTGGGGTCGGTGGACATGACCCGCAGTAGACGACGGCAAGTATCGATGTTTCAAAGAGTACGTCGAGTACTTTGCCAAGGACTTTATCCATCCCATCCACGTCGCGCTGGTCAAGCAGAAGAAGGCGGCCGCCGAAACCACGGCGGCGCTGACGGGAGACTGGTAACTAGCGCTCTCAATAATCTTCAACCAGTTAGTACACGACCAACTGTGTCCGAGGACGCTGTCGACGTGCGCAACAACCTAACACGTTGCATTCCAGCACTCGTATGTCGCAATGAACAGAGATATCCTGACAAGTCCAAGCGAAAACGCATGTGGAGGTGCGTCCAGAAGCAGAGGGTACAGTGCGTCGGGTTCGTTGTTGGCGCCCATGCGAACATGCACCGGAGGGCTGAATCGCAAAGACGGCCCATGCGAACCAACCTTTTCTAACGGACAACGGTGGGCGCAGGTTGCATGACTTGAATCGCTCATGCCATGACAACAAGGAGCAGAATGGCCACCGACGACGAATACGATGGGACTCCACCACGTGACGTTACACTGTCGAACCACGTCTGCATGGGGTAGCTGCCCCCTCCAGCCGTCGATGTCATGCGTCGTGATGGATGCGGCGCATCCCCTCACGAGATGGCATCCGTCTGAATTGGTCGACAAGTGGCGATGGTTGTCGGTGTTCATGCTTGCCGTTCGTTGGATCGGTCGCCACTCTTGCGTCGCACGGATGGCTGCAGGGAGAAGTCTGTTTCGATGGCACCACGCGTGAATCGAGTGCGTCGCTCCACCATGGTGCTGTGTTGGCTTTTTGGTGCTGTTGGCCTTACAGCTACGTGTTCCGCACCCCGCGCTATCAGCTCGAGCAGCAACTCTGTGGCGTTTGTTTGGCTCTCACGCGCCAATTCCTGAACGTCGGATGCTCCGCGATGCGGACCAGGAAACCCGCAGTGGGCGAGGGACTTGCATCGGACGATCCCTAGACTTTACATGCCGCTTTGACATGTCCATCGCGCTTGCCCACGCCTCACATCGCTCGGTCCATCACACCATTCACGGTGACACAAAGCGAGCGATCGGAACTACAGATCGACTGTCTGGACCACTGGAGCCATCACCGCTCCGAAAGCTCGATACACGCCATCGCCTCCGAGTCCTTGCGGATCACCAGCTCGAACGAAAGCACCATGCCTCAACATGCACGTCGAAGCCCCGATGTACACCCCGACAAACGCCACAAGGTATACATTTATTATGTACACAACAACACACTTGTCGTTGATCGACTACCCCTTGCGGCTCTTGACGACGGGGCATTTGCCTGTCGTGGGGTCCAACTTGCCGTTGCCGCCCGCAATGCGGTAGCACTTGGTCGACGGGTAGATGGCCATGATGCTGGACGTGACGGAAAACGAGATGCACGACAGGAAGACCACGATGAGGACGATGCCGGCCAACTTGCTCTTGCCGCCCTTCCGCTTCAACTCTTGCATGGGTTCGCGCTGGGGAGGGAGCATCCACAGCCATGTCAACGCAAACAACTTGCACGCGTACGAGATCAAATACGAGTACGTGACGTCCCATCGGACGGCGTCCGTGTCCGCCATGATGTCGTTTTGGGACAGCGCCAAGTACGAGTTGATGTATTTGGTGACGACGGACGCAAACGGCGACGCCAGGTTGGAGACGGTCGTGACGAGGCCGTAGGTCGCGCCTTCGTTGCCGACGTCTGCGATCTCGACGGCGCAGAACGTCGACACGACAAAGCGAATGCCGGCAGGGACGTTGTCGGCGAGCGCGACGCCCGTGAAGAACCACTGGTTGCGCACAACGTCCCAGATCGTGAGGAAAATGACAAACCCGTCAATGAGCATGACCCCGATCGACCCGAGGGCAATCGTCCACCGCCAGTTCCAGTGCAGACCCCACTTGGCGACAACGACCAAGATGCCGGAAAAGATGGCGTTGCCGACGATGCCCGACAACGAGTCGTTGAGCGGCTCGACGCCGGCCCAGATGCTCGACATGGGACTGCCCGCCGTCGAACTGATGTTCTGGAACATGTTGTTGATGAACCGGAACGCGCAGATCTGCCACATCACACGCTTCTGGAGCAGCTCCCAAAAGCTGCCGACCCACTCGCGGAACGGCACGCCCGCCGTCTTTTGCTCCTGCACGACAAACACGGTCGTCAGCACCACCATCACGCACGGCGCCAAGCAGATCCCGTACGGCACGTTCGGCGCCATCGAGAACGAAAACGATCCGTTGTAGTTGGCGCCGTTCAAGCCAAACCCCGTCACGATCAACGCCAGGATGCTCGCCATCGTGCGCACGACGTAGATGGCCGTCTGGACGCGGCCGCGGATCGCCAGAGGCTCGCGCTGTGCATACTGGCACACCATCGCGTCCGACGCACACGCCGCCGTCACGTACCCCAGCGACACAAACATGGACAAAATGATAAACAGCCCCCCGCTGTCCGGCGCGAGCAAGTTGAACAGCTCCTTCTCGGCCGCCGTCGCGTTCGAGTACGGCTTCGAGCACGCCTTCGACTGGATCAATGCCGCCTTCTCCCGGTTGCAATACGGGTCGCCCAGCGACGAAAACGTCATGATGGACAAACAGAGCATGGTCGCCGACCACCCGATCAACATCCACGACTTGCGACGGTACCCAAAGATCGGAAAGCAGTCGGAGAACATCCCCATAAACACTTTGAACGACCACCCGAGCGTCACCAAAGTCCCGTACGACGCCGTCTGGTACCCCTCGAGCTGCAGGTACACGTTGAAGATGGGGTAGTTGAGCGACGGAATCATGCCGTAGATGACGCCGATTGCTGCGTATTGCGAAAACAAGCCAAACGCTTCGCGGGAAAAGAGGTCGAGGGCCCCGCCCGCCACGAGCGCGCCGTCCTCGAGCTCGCCTGGGGTCTTGGCATCGTCATAGCTCTTGTGGTCGCCGTCTTTCGTGGCCGACTGGATGTACGACACGCGCTCTTGGAGATCCATGTTGCGGCCCGCTTGCATCTTGGCGAGCCAATCCAACAATGACGGTGCGACGACCGTCCAGGCTCGGCAGAGAGAGAGAGAGGGGGGGGACACTTGTCGCACGAAAACATGTCTGGGGCCGCTGGACGTTCGACACCTGGTCCACATGGTCATCTGGGTAGAACGGCGGGCG